CTTTATTTGGTAGCCTACGACTCTTTTCAGTTACTTGTTTGGTTTTGGTTAATTCATCACAATACTGATATACATGAAAAGTTACATTCTTGATTAGCTAAAAACAGCTAGGTGCCTTTTTCATGTGTCGTTAGTTAGTTAGTCAAGTATAAGCACAGCAACATTAGATCACACTAGAAACCAATCAGATTTACATGAAGTAGGTTGTGCTGATTGATGCACACAGAAGCTGACCAAAATAAACAAAAGCTCCGATATTTTTATGTACATTAACAAACACATAGCTTGAATTTGGGAAACACTGGCACGAAATTAAATTTCAATAATAAGAAAGCTTGAAAAATTCTGGTTCTTTAAATCATATAATACTATCATGCACTTGCCTGTACATTGAACTCTGTTGTGTTTAAGTTATGTCTCTGATTACTTTTTCTGAAATCTATTATGGTGACGCTCTATCTCTATTGAACTTTCTGTTAAATAAAACCTCCAGGTCAAATTATAAAACTTATTGCGTTAAAAATTATTAGGAATGTTTATGAAATGTTGCTTCAGAGTACAACATATGATTCACTAAAATATTGCTTTTATTCTGGTCATGTTATGCACCTATCTTTTTTCACTAAATTCTTCCATTTGCAACTCCATATCCACCTACCTCAACTAAATTTTTCTGTGTTCTTCATTGAAAATACTTTCAAACCCAAATACAATAATTATAGTAAATGTTTTGCTATCAACCAACTGAAAATAGAACTTTGTGCTCTAATGGAAAATAGAAACCTCCGTTCAGCATGGTGTTACTTTACATGTCTGTATTGTCCAAAATTAGTCATACATTCAACGAAATCAAGCTCCCAATGGCTTCTAGTGTAGATTACCTCATTTCCCGAGTGTCCCCGCCCTTATGCGAAGTTTTGTCCTCGTGTGATGGTGAATAATATCGCAAAAGATTTTCATATGAAATGTTCCCCTAGAGTTAATTTCATATCACTTGCCTTGGAAAAGACAACTAAGTTATAAGCTTTGGAACTCAATTCCACTTCTTTATGTACACAAAATCATGACTGAAACTATCAGACCACTATGGGAGATGATACTAACCTTTTTTTAAGCTCCTGAAATCCTGGCTAGGTATTTTGTAGAATCACACGCAAACATCTGCGGGCTAATCACTAACTCTAAAGCCATCTCTGCTTTCGTTGTAATATGCAGCCTTCTGCTCCGTCTAAGTTGAAACTGTAAAGGGAAATGCAAAGTTTTTCGCTGCTCGTTTAGTTCTCAACTATATCAAACAAGATATTTTTGTTTTCAATCAACATCAATTTTCCTATCCCTTTGGTTCAGTCTTCGTGTTCCCATTTACCTTGTCATCAACAAACCGCGCTCGCTCCTTGTGAGTCACACAGAGTGGATCAGTTATCAACATGGACGACACTCGATGAGCGATTGTAGTTTGTCCGAAATGGCCGATTGCTTTTCCAACACATCTTTCACAGTATTTTTATGATGACGTGTGGAATGTCTCATCTTCCAGCAGTAAATGACAGGATTCAAAGATGAATTTAGATACATGAGAGTCCGCGAGTAAAGAAAAAATCCTTTTCGAGCTTTACTCGAACCATAGATTTGCATGACGGCAATGCGAATACAAAAGGGCGAAAGACCAATTACAAACACGAGATATACGAAGAATATGCCAACTGTGGATTTAATGAGGACAGCGAAGTTTTTTATCTCATCAGACCGAGCCACTTTTTGTACTTGCAAAGACTGAATCTTATTCTTGTGCCGTCGGACAACTAAATATATCCTGATGTACATCACGAATGTTAAAATAAAAACAAAAGATGCAACAACTGTAACAATAACATTTCGAGTACTAACCAGCCCCCACAATCTCATCAAAGAAAAAAGTGCGCTATACACCCGTATGATGATCACCAAAATAACAACACGCTTGTGAGCCGCAAGCTCTTTGTATCTGAGATGAAGATGAACAGCTAAGAACCTGTCTACACTTACAGCCACAACACTTCAATTCGAAGCAGCTGAAAAGAACCAACCTAAAATACTCAGTATTCGATAAATGTTGCAGCTAGGATACCCCAGTTGTAGGCACTTTACAAGAATGAAAGTGTACAATGGTTGACTAAACAAACCAACAGCAGCATCAGAGCAGGCAAGACTCAGTAGCAGAGTTTTTAAAGTTTTTACCATCGTCGAGATTTTGTGTATGGCGTAGATTGTCAAAATATTCAACATAATGCAGGTGTAAGTTAGAAAATTGTTAAAGACACAGTTGGCGATAAAAGTCGATCGAAGATCTGCAAGTTCGGTGTATATAGGGAAACCTTGCGAAGACTCATTACAAAACAACTCGTTCATGATATTAACTCACTTCTAAAAGATAGGAACTCCTATTCCTGATAAATAACATGTGTTGTGATTCTTTAGCAGGACAATTTCTCCTTATTCTGGGTAGTGATTCTGCATAAAATTTTCCTCTTTTTCGCAAGTGTGATAAAGCTCAATAAAAGGTATACACTAATTATGATATGGGTTCTTAAGATGTAAGCTACTGACAACATGATGTAAGCCAATGACAAATAGACAAACATTATGTCTGGACATAATGTTTTTTATGTCGGGGCATGTTCATTTGATAACCCGTTGGTAGGTTTGTACCAGGTACGAATGTTAACCAATAAGAATTTAGGGTGGAGTTTGCTATGCTGAAACCAGGAACACTTTCTTAGTTCGTCCTTGTATCCCTCGCCATTCGAACGTCAAGTGCGCAAGAAAATATTTCCCTCCACCTCCCCTATCACCTTTCGACGGGTTCTCAGTATTGTCTTCATTGTCTAAATTTTGATTAGCGTTTTTGTCGCCCCACGTTGACAATATCGCTTGATAAGTCCAGATATTTTGCTCTTTGTTGTCACTTAGGTATAATTGATTTAATTAAAACTGCCACTGTTTGAGGCCAAATTGTTCCAATTCATTTGTCGTGTTTTGTTCAAGCATTTGCTTCACTTTGGGACATCTTTCTCGAGCAGAGCTCACGTAAAGGGTCGTTTTTCTAAGAAACATGCATCGATGTAAAAAGAACCTAAGTCAGGCATATCAGTAGACGGAGGCGGTCAGGACGTCCAATTGTAGTTTACATGCACAAATACTGCAATACTGAGGTTTAAAAAACACAATTTGCACTTTAGAGGCGAACACCAATGTGTAATCAATAATATATTTTATATGTAATTGTTTTTTGATTAGTTCAGATTTTAATATTTAGAGAACATTAATTGTAAAGCGCTATTGATCTGTCATTGTAAAAAGCGCTCTATAGGAGAAAAAAATTTTATTGTCGCAGAGAAATCAACTGAATGCTACATTCTAATCAGGCAGCACAGGGTGAAAACAGTAACCTGTGAGCCATGGAGTAAAAAAATAAATGTACATTAACCAATCCTAAAAAGCTTTTCCGTTGTGC